GTTGGGTACATTGTGGTCATAAAGGGATGGACATGGTCAGCAACAATACTCAGGTAGGCTGTGGCATTGCAACGATGCTCAATTGGTACCAAGGGGCCCAAAGAGTGCCAAGAAAATATTCCCCACACCATTACACCACCACCACCCGCCTGAACCGTTGATACAAGGCAGGATGGATCCATGCTTTCATGTTGTCGACGCCAAATTCTGAGCCTACCATCCGAATGTCGCAGCAGAAATCGAGACTCATCAGACCAGGCAACGTTTTTCCAATCTTCTATTGTCCAATTTCGATGAGCTTGTGCAAATTGTAGCCTCAGTTTCCTGTTCTTAGCTGAAAGGAGTGGCACCCGGTGTGGTCTTCTGCTGCTGTAGCCCATCTGCCTCAAAGTTCGACGTACTGTGCGTTCAGAGATGCTCTTCTGCCTACCTTGGTTGTAACGGGTGGTTATTTGAGTCACTGTTGCCTTTCTATCAGCTCGAACCAGTCTGGCCATTCTCCTCTGACCTCTGGCATCAACAAGGCATTTCCGCCCACAGAACTGCCGCTCACTGGATATTTTTTCTTTTTCGGACCATTCTCTGTAAACCCTAGAGATGGTTGTGCGTGAAAATCCCAGTAGATCAGCAGTTTCTGAAATACTCAGACCAGCCCTTCTGGCACCAACAACCATGCCACGTTCAAAGTCACTCAAATCACCTTTCTTCCCCATACTGATGCTCGGTTTGAACTGCAGGAGATTGTCTTGACCATGTCTGCATGCCTAAATGCACTGAGTTGCCGCCATGTGATTGGCTGATTAGAAATTAAGTGTTAACGAGCAGTTGGACAGGTGTACCTAATAAAGTGGCCGGTGAGTGTATATGCGTATGTGTATGTATATATGTATGAATGTATATATGTATGCATGTGTGTATGTGTGTATATATGTATGTGTATATATATGTATGTGTATTTATATGTATACATGTGTCAGTATGTATGTATGTATATATGTCAGTATGTACAGTATATATGTATGTATATGTGTATATGTATATATGTGTATGTGTATTTGTATACATATACACACATATATATGTATATATATGTATATTTGTATGTATATATGTATGTATATATCTATATATGTATGTATATATGTATGTATATATGTATATATCTATATATATGTATATATATATGTATATATATCTATATATATATATTTGTGTGTTTTTTCAAGGTGTTGAGTTATGTCTTGTTCATGTTCTTCAGCTCTCCACGCAAGCCAGAGGTGGCCTTCATCTCTTCCTGTCCGGATCTCAATAAAGTCAACTTCACTCCTCACGGGGGCTCGGCCTTCTGTCCCGTCAGCCTCCCCGTTCCTCTTCTTTCCTCCATGGGCATGTCTTTCCGAGGTCTTTCCATTTCTCCAGCAGGGGGCCCGTCATGTCAGGGGCCAAGTTCCTGTCAGGTAACATTCTCGAACGTTAACTCTGTCAGCACAGCCTCAGAATCCCATTCTGTCTAAGGATGTAGGTATGTGGCCCAATGTGTTTTCTGAGATGCTGGTGTCACTAATGCCTTTTTTTTTTTTTTTGACAAAATATCTCAGTTCTTTTCTACAAAGGTTGGAAATAACCTGTAATGTGTAATAGTGAAATATTCTTGTAATACTTCACAATCTAAATCTTTATATGTTCGTTGTGTTGCTTTAGGTCAGTCTGTAAAGTCAGTCATTTGAATCAGTCATTCAATCTACCAAAGATATATTTGTGGATCAAATAATTGAAAAGACAGAATTTTACTCAGCGTGATCTGAGTAGCGACTCGCTGTACACATCGATAGATGCAGAATACATTTTTAACTTCAAAAGGGCTGCTATGTGGCCATTTAAAAAAAAAAAAAAAAAAATTAAATAACTTGCGTTGTGTTCTATCATTATTTTTTTTCCTTTACCAAAGACCTTTATCCACCATTCTCTCCTCATATCAACTCAGTGTATTTTACTTTAACTTTAACTTAATTTGAAATACAAAAATAAAAATATTATCAAATGTATTAGTTAAACAAAACAATTCCTTGGTTGAATTTAGTAGACATAAACACCTATGCTCATAAGCTCATGAATCTTAGGTTTGTGATAGTAGTTTTGGCAGTGCTGACTGGGACAAACTTAACCTGACAGAAGATTTGATGCTAAATTAAAAAAAAAAATTGTACCCCAAAAAAAAAAACCAAACATGACAGCGTTATCTTTTCTGCCCGAAAACTAAAGTTTGTGTCCTGCAAGATGATCCATTGACTTGTAAAAGTACTTAATGTTCTTCCTGACCCTCTGAAATGGATTAATTTAAAAGCCATTTATGAGTACTGTAGCTTTAAGAGAAGGTGTCATCATAACTAACCAATGGTGACGTGGTGATTAGCACTGGTAGCTTCTCCTGACGCTTGCCGCCCATCTTTAAAATGTCACTGTGCTTTTACATAGTTTAGTTTGAAAGCCTCACCGTTGGATTTAGCTGATTAGAGTACCCTCTGCTGGCTCTTTCATTAATGACACTTTCATTTCCGCAGACAGCTCTGACTCAGCCGAGTTTTCTTTTCTTTTTTTTTTACTTTAATGTGTGTTAATGAACAATAGAAAAAGCTTGACGTTTATAAGTGGACTACCTGACCAGGTTTGGTGGTGTAGTTTAGAAATGTTTGCACAGATCGATCTGCTACCTTCGTGTTGCATTTTCATAGTTTTAAAATCACCTTTTTTTTTTTTGTACCGATTTGTAAATGTTTAAGTGTTTTCCTCAAATGTGTTTCCAGTGAGCTTTAATGCAGCTGTCTACTTGCGATACGTCATAGTGACTGAAGCAGACGCTACATGTTAGCGTAAAAACATATTAGGTTTTGATGCACTTCCAGGAAGAGCTTTTCATATAGAGGATTGTGTGTTTTCTTTTGTTTCATTCTTTGCGGTGGTAGTTTGTATGTGCAGATGAGGATTTCGAATTCACTGGAACCGATGCATTCAAACCCCGTTTTCAAGGAAGCCTTGATGTCAAGCTGAGATTGTGCTGTTTTCTGGGTTTCTGTCCACAGATGTCTGATTTGTTTCAGCTCTGTGTTAACTGTCTTAAGATCTTACCTTCAAATGTGGGCGTAGGCTCCTTTAAAATGAGAATCCTTTGGGTAAGATGCAGTACAGGCAGTACAGGTGTCATTTTTGTATTTTTTACACAGAGATATGACAAAGAAGTGAAATAAAAAAAAAAGCATACAAAAAATAAAAACAATATACAAATATTGTCTACATATATTATTTGTTAAATATTTGCCAAAATTCTTTATATTATGTGGTATTCAAGTGGCGCAAAATGAGGTACTAGGTGGCTAACTTAGTGAGTTACTTTAGATAAGATGACATGATGAAGGACTTATTCTAGCGTTACATATATATTTATATATGTATATATATATCTATATCTATATATATAGATATATTTATAGTGGACTTTTCTGTTTTCTTTTTTAGCAATTTTGAAACTTTGTTTATAAATATAAATGTGTAGACATATTTATAGAACATATTTAATTTTCTTGTGAACGACATGGATTAGTTTCACCAAGCAGTAAAAGTTCCTCGCAGGTCTTGCACCATGGTGATATATCCCAGTATTAGCATAATTATTTAATATCTATACGAATTTGTTATTGATTTTTTTCCTCCGATAATGAAAACCCGATAACGCAATGCCTAGGTTTCACCAAGTGACGTGTGCCCTAAAAATAGTTTTGGCCATAAACAGCTGTATAGTAAAGTGAAAGTCACTAGATGGCAGCATTGCAGCTCATTTAATTATTCTTATACAGTGGTTTGTACAGGTAAAAAAATAAATATTACTAGGCCTATATCGGAATCGGAAATCAAGTGTTTGGACAATATCGGGATATTGGCAAAAAGTTTATATCAGACATCCTTAATCCCGAAGGATCCCTAAGGAGTATTACTGCATCCTTCAAAAAGTGTAAAGACAAAGACTGAAAAAAAGTTATTTCTACTTTATTTTTTTTCTCTGTAAACAGTATAAACAAAAGCCCAAGATGAGGTCAAATAATTTGCATTTTAGAAAAAAAAAAAATGAATCTCTTTGTACAAAACACTCAACGAAAATCTAGGATTCATCAAACTATATAATAACATCTTACTTTTGACAACTAAAACAATTTGCATTTACTGTTTAGAAAGTAATGGCAAAGTGTGTACAATTGCAGAGTTTTTCACATCTTACACTGTCTTGGTATGAGGTATGGGATTTCTGTCATTGAGATACTTGTCTTTCAAATAAAACTTAAATTAGACTTTATACACATAACAGTAGATCAACATGATCAACTATATTTGTTGGATGGCCAGAATTTTGCTGGATAGACACTCTGGAACACACAAATGAAATGAAATAAAAATCACATTTTTGTATGAATGTAAATAGAGACATAGTTGGGATCACCAACAGTCATTCAAGTCTTAGTTGTTGATTTTTAGTTTTTTTTAGCTGCTTTTACAGTGCAGACAACCCGGAATTTGGGAATTCAGCTGCGGGCCACGTTGGACTGTTCGGCAGTTGATGATCATTGGTGAGCTGTTTGTTAAGTAGCTATAATGATTCGATTTCCTCCTGATGGCAGTGTTGACGCTTTTGGTTAGTCGGTCTAATACATCTGAAACATGACGACTTCATCCTCGTCCTCCTCTTCTTCAGTTTCATCCTGTTGATATAAGATGATACGTGAGCACGTTTGAACGCTTGCCTTACATACTACACAGTGGCTCTTAAAGGAAAATTCCACTATAACTATAAACAGGGTTCTTATGTACCAGAGAGAATCTGTTTAGAACGAGTGTATATTTATTGTTTATCAATATTTGCATATCTATCTATATATATATATATATGTGTATATGTAACTAAAAAAAGTATTGTAATATATCGTAGTACCGATATTTTGGCCCACCCCTAGTATGGATGGTTTTCTATTTGTGGTCCCGCAACGGACTAGAGGACTGTCTAGCGAGTCCTAAGAGTTGAGATTTTAGCCATAGATTATGGTTGCCCCTCGGCATGTTACGAAGACAGTCCAACGACAACTGTAGATGATAAATACCTCGTTAAAAGAAAAAAAAAAATCAACTTTGCCAACCTCATTAAAACGGACGTAGTCCTCGCCTTCCTCACTACTGCTGGTGCTGAACTCGATGTTGTCGTCTTCTGAGTCCTGAGTCGAAACAGTTACTGTGAGCTTTGTTTTTTTTTTGTTTTTTTTAATTGTAATATTAAAATATAGCCAAAAAAAGTAAACAAATAAGCAATGGAGAGCAGTTCCAGAATCTCTTGGGGGAAAAAGATCATCTCGGAACATCTCAACTCACTGATGTTCTGTCTGGGTTTGGCCGGTCTGCTGCAGAGTTGATGTTGTTGAACGCCTGCAAAACCTGTTATACACACGTTACAACACGCACATTATAAAGTTGTTGTTAAAAATTATATAAAAATAAATAAAAATAACATTTTGATCTTCATACCTCACTGTTGGAGCTTTTAATGATTTTCTCTTGTTCAGCTGTCAGCTTCTGTAAAAAAAAAAAAAAAAAAATTGGAAGGTGAAAATATAAACTTTTTCAACTTAACGCTGCTCAACTTAACACTGAAAACATAGAGAAAGAACAGTACTGGGCTGTGCTAAAATATCAATAAACCGGTGGCAGATATGGATATTTAAACAATAAACATACACTTGTTCTAAAACAGGTTCTTTTATAAAAAACCTGCTGCAATTTTTTAAGCTTCCGCGTGGCGCCAGAGACCGCTTACGGGAGAGTAAGTGCAGAAATCAAAACATTTTTTGATGAAACCCAAGTAAGGAAGCACTGTATGTGAGACTGCAGGATGGAGTGATAAAATATCTTCTTCTGTTATGCACTGTATTAAATTACTTTTAGCTTCGAGTCCTTTCTATCCACAGCCATGGAGGAGTGATGAAGGTCAACGCCACAATCGGTCTCAAACCTGTAGGTCTTCAGGATTACTCACCTGGAGATACTTGTCCAGCTTCACCATGTATTCTTTCTTCATCTGAAAGAAATCAGAGGCAAAGAACTTCATTCACATTAGATCCAGAGAAATGTTTACTAATTGAGGTTATATTTTAGATTGTTGCAAAGACAGTGTGTGTTTTTCTTTTATGGATAAAGAAGGAGAAATAAAGAGGACAATCGACAGTGATGCGTCTGAGTCGTCCTCCATCGCACCATACATCGACAATTCAAAAACACAACGCATAGTCTCCGGGTGTTGGGTGGCACAACGCGCGAAAAAACAGAGAGCGAGACTGAGGGGGGGGGTCGTACCTCAGTGCAGCGCGTTTGGTACTTCTCCCTCTGAGATTCGGGCAACGCCTGCCATCTTTTCGCCCATAAGTTTACACAGTTCCTCTTGAAGGGGTTTGAATCCACTAGCTCTTTGCAGAATAAGTTATAGCAGCAGCTGAGGGAACACAAATACAACAAAAAAAAACATCACCAATTTTTATTATGACTTTTAGAGGCGAGGGTCTATGTTTTGCATGAGAAAAATCAATATCAAACAAAAAGTATACTCACACCATACCTACTTAACGTCAAACCTGAGATGTTTTGGTTGAACACAACTCTGATATTGTCAATAGAATTGAAGAAAAACAAAAAATTCTCAGTGGTTTTTTTTTTTTAACTAGCCTTACTTTGGTCAAATCTTAATTATTTTTTCTCTCTCTATGGAAACTAACACAGGTATGTCCTCGCTGGCTAACATATAAGGCCTTTTCTAGAATGTAATGTCTAAATAAATAGAAGGTTTTAACAAAAGAATCTTACAGTGTGTGTGGGTGTCTCTCTTACCGTGGAGGCTTGGTGGGCAGACCTTCTACATCATTAGTTTCAGACTGTGACTTATTTTCTTCCTGCGAAAGAGAGATTCTATATCAGGTACAATCGCACTGAAATGAACAAAAAAGTCATGCACACATTAAACTAATGTAATATTGACAATTTAAGATAAAAGTGAAGTTACCTCCTGCGAAATCTGTTTCCACTTCAAGTCGCACTCCTCAGGAGAGAATGGGGGAAATGCCACCTTGTTCCAGTTCGTTTTTCGCTTTAGTGCAATATCGTGTAAATGCTCTCTCATTGCCGTGAACAGCTTCCACAGGTCTTCGTTGCTCCACTCTGACGTCATAACATAAGGACACAGCAGTATTTAAGTGAGTTCACCCCAGTCCATTTCTAATTGTATTCTGTTACTATAAAACACGTCTAATAATACCAACCCCGTTCATTGGGTTTCATAATTTCAGTCACTTCCGTGTTGTTTTCGGTGTTTGAGCCTTAGTGAACAGACTGTTCAATCGCATCCATCGTCAATTGACGCTACACCGGTACCTGCTAACGCTAAGACAAGTTAATAAACACACATAAAGTAACGACATACGTTAAAAAAAAGACTACTTTACGGTAGCACTAGTAGTTTACTCACTGCCGTTTTTGAGGGTAGGTGTAATTGCCATTAGAAATGCGTTGCGTGTAAGCAATGTTTTGTTTTTGATATGAAGGGCTAAAGTTGCAGCTAAAGAACACACCAAGTTTTAGGCGCACAGGAAAATACGTCATTGAATGAAAGCCACTTGGTTTCTTTTGCCCCTGGCTCGACCCGGTCCGGATATACAACTCAGATAGAAAGGTAAGAGACTTTTGGATTTTTCTACGCTACTTTTGGCGTTTTGACTCTTTGTAACTTTAGCTAAATAGCTTAGGCATTAGCAATAGCATTATTATTATTATTATTATTATTATTATTATTATTACTGTTGTTGTTGTTATTGTTTTGTGAAAGTAACTTGGAGAATGTATTGTGTATCTGAATGTATAAGCTTAGTAGTGTGACTGAAAGACAAGATGAGGCGTCTGTGGAGTCAAACTCAAGTTTTTTTTTAATTTAAAAGTGGCAATTATTTTACAAATGTTGTGCTAATGGCAAAACTTCAGTACTTGGCTTGTCTATTTATTTTTGAAATTGGTCAGCCAAGAGGAAGTTTTCTTTTATTCTGTGCAGCTGCTGTGCTGCTGCTATGCTTTGCGTCTTGGTTCACTGCCATTGTGGTACTTCCCCTTGGCTGCCATGCCTACCTGTCTCCTGTCCTTTATGTCCCAGTGTGGCCATTAATTAGTCTTTTGGGAGCATTTTTACCGTTTCTAGAGTTCACTGGCAGTTTATATAACATTCAACAATTTTGTTGTGATTTGTGGTTCTTTTCTACCATTTTGAGCGTTGCAGTCATTTTCCACAATTTTGGTTGCTGTCATTTTCTAGCTGCCCAGTTGCTGTCTGGAGTGACTACTATTGTAGTTTGATTTATTGTTTAAGATGTTGGGTTTTTAAAGTCAAGTTTAATGTAGTATTAGACACTATAGACCGTATGCATGGCCATTAATAATGGCTTCATGAGAAGTAAGCTCCTGATCACTCTCAACGTTGCACAGTCCATTTAAGAGTTTTACCACGGTGCCTTAAAAGACAAAGAGTTACTCAGTGCTGCAAGGAGTAACAAGAAGTATACCTGTTAAAAGAAGTACAGCACCAGTTTATGATAAACCCAAGTGTTTTTGTTGGGTTTTATTTTTTATTTCAGTTTCTTCCTATTTGGATAAACATGTTTAAAGAGAGTCCCGATAGTTGTACACTTACCTTATCGTGTTACCTTAATTCTCAATTCATTTCGTTTTTCAAAGATTAATTGTAAAAGTTCATTACAAACTGCATACTACGCACAAATAGATTTCACTTAAGATTTAATTAACTGCACTTTATACAATACTTTGTTCATTGGTTATAAAGCATTTCAAGCTTTCAGTTTGGCTTATTTCTTTCGTGATCACCCCCTTTACTGAGAACACCGGCACCATATAAAACAACACACCTTTTATAAAAGCTCTTTGTCATGCTGTCATTTATGTTTTGACTTATGCGATGTCAAACCGTCCAGGAAAGATGGGAAGCTCTTAATTGTAAATGACAATACATGCGGTATATAGAGAAACATACAGTATATTCTGTATAAACATTTCTTAAGGTAGTCCGAGAAGACATTTACAATGGCATTTGAGTTTCACAGTATACATCCTGGCCTGGTTCCTCCTCAAATGTCACTTTAGCATCGTCAGCATCCAACTGAAACAGAAGAAAATATGTCAGTTATGTGTTTAGAAATGGAGGGGTGTTTTCCCTGTCTAAGGCATGTTGTGCAAAGTTAAGTTGAGATTTTGGGCTTAGGTATTGGATCAGACAGGCTGGGGTTGATTTTGAAATTTTGACCAATATTGGACAGATACCTATTCTGGCCGGTCCCTACATGGGACCTTCAGTTCTACGATCGTGGAGTTACTTACGCATTTAATTTCCAGTTCTGAGAACAAACGCCCAGTCATAACCATGCGCAAAGGAATGGTGAGGATCAGTATAAATGGAAGTGCCAGAGATGCTGGACTGGACTTCACAATCCAAAGGATCACAAGGCAGCCACACTGGATGAGCGTGAACACGTGCATCCGTGCTGTGCTTACCTATGTCAAAAATACATTCACATCAGTAACTCTGGCATTAGACATTAACGTTTTGACATGTAAACACAACATATTTGGGGAATGAAACACACATGTAAATTTTATAATTTGTGTGTGAAATGTGGGAAAGTTAGAAGTTTCAGCAGTGTGTGTGTGTGTGTGTGCAGTAAGCACTGACTATTGTGTTGTAAGTATAAGTATAACTTGTGCATTGTGTAATTTTGTGCCTACTTAAAATTTAGTAAAATCCAAAAGCTGCACTTTCATATCTGTGTACTATAGTACTAAACAATATTTGCTTCTATAGTATTTTTGGAACGGGAACCATCTCTTCTCTCTTCTTTGTTATTGCAAGAACTAATCCCATGAACTAGGCATCAGTAAAGTATTGTCTACATTTGGGATGCAGAATTTTCCTAATTTTCATATTTCATAGTGTGACTGAAATCGTAGTCTAGTCTCTTACTTTGGTAGCGTAGGGTTCATCCGGGTGGTATTTCTTAGGAATGAACAACAGAAGCATCCGATCCCATAGCTGTATACCATTCAGTGATGTCACTCCCATGTAAAGGAAGATACCAAACAGGGCTGACATTGGGATCAACGTTAGAATCGGCTCCATCAGAATAGACAAACCTTCAATACAAAGAGAAAATAGGACAATAAATAATAAGAAAATAACCTTCATCAGAATGAACTAGACCTAGCAGAGTGGACAAATATGTCGTCAGGCATGCTGCTATACGCAGAAGACCGCTTTGTTTACATTCTTCGGTTGAACACCGTACATTGGATTGTGCTGGATACACTTTTTTTTTTCGTTTGTGTTGTTCTTTTGGGAACGTTTTGACCATCATTTTGGCAAAACTTGGCAAAATGTCCACCTCCTATGGGCAGTTACATATGATTCTGGGGTCTATGTGTTGCCTGTAGTGTAGAAATACTGAATGGATTCTAAATTAGTTGATGTCAGCATTTGTGTGTGGCATGCAGAATATGTTTTTTTTTTTTAAATTAGTAAGTAGTTGGACATGTACGTCCCGTAAAACAAATCAATTGTTGTGGTCTGCAGCAGTCGTTCTTTCTTGTACCATGGACCGGTCAGACAGTATCAGCCGTCACTGCGGACAGGTAATACCGTAATCATAAAATTTTATGATCTGAATGACCGATTGTTTTGAAACATTGTCAGATTATATTTTAATGAAAAAAAAGGATAAGACTGGATTCTTTATGAATGAAGTAAATTAGTAAAATTGATTTTTTTCACTGTGTCCCACTGCGGCCCGATACCAAATGACCTACGGACCGACACCTGTCCCAGGACTGGGACTTGTGGGCCCCTTGTCTACACTATATGTATTCCAGTACATTGAGTAGCAGTAAGAGTAACATTCCACAACCATCTTAAATGAATCATTGTAATGTATGTTAATGCAACTATAACGTGATGCTGCAACTTATATGTCAGTGACAAGTTAACCTGCTGCTGCTAACCTTAGTGTAAAGAAAATGTTCCTCGAAACTTTACATCATTACGTCTCAAACCAGGTGTGTCCCACGTACCAACTAGCAGGGCCACCAGAATCCCGCTGACTCTCTGTTCCATCACTTTCTCTATGACAGGCTTTGGTCCTTTGCTCATGACAGTGAGGGCGTTGGCGTGGGTGACCGTTCTCACAGTGGCGGCACTGAGCCACGGCACACCGAATATTGCACTGAGTCCACCCATGGCTACTAGAAGCAGCAGGTCAAAGTGGAACCCGGAGCCCTTGACCATCTTCCTCTCGGGTTTACTTATAATCAAACTGTTGGGAGGGTACAACGTGTTAATGAGTAGACACCTTCCGCAGTGGTATTTTGTGGAATTATGTGGACGTTTTGCTCACGTAGTGATTTGAGACTCCAGAAAGATGAGGATAAAGACAAGCAGGGCTGGGATACAGGAGGCAAACATGAGCCACACAGGAAAGGACTGGTGCTCTCCAAATGGATTGATCAACCAGCCTCTTTTGGCCGGGTTGGACACTGTCAGACCTTTCGGAACAACCAGTTTCTTTGAAGGAGAAAAATGGTTACAACTTTGTTTTCATTCAATGCCCTGATGGCTTAAAAAAAACTTAGCGCAAACCTGAGTGTAGGTGTCCTGAATACTGTAGTCCACCACGATCATAAGGAAAATTGCAATAGGGACTCCAAAGTCACCAATCAAACGTCTGACCTGTTGACATAGAATGTTTATTAAAATAAAAAAACACATGAATGTAATATATATATATATATTTTTTAAATCTCACCTTTCCGGGCAGAAACGTTCCGTTCTTGAACTGGCGAAGGAAAAAGGCGATAAAGAAACAACCGAACATGAGGCACATGGAGAGCAGAGCCGTGTTAGGATAAGGAGGCTTAATGGTGCTAACGAGCACAGTCGTGTTGCCCGTAGCGTTGTCATAAATGACGCGTTCTTCCGATTTCGGTTGCCAGGGATTTTCCACGCTTGCGTTCAATTGATCGTAATTCAGAATGAGCGGGTGTGCTTTGAAGATCTGCACAAAAGTCAGGAGATAACAGAGAAAGAAATACATGTTAAATATATTGGGACACCTTAAGCCTGATTCATACATATAATTACGTTACAAATTTGATATATACGTGCGGCCAAGAGAATGCAAGAAAAAAGAGGTTAAACAGTGATGTTTCTGATGGTGACATTTTCCTGTGTTGTGGACCAATTTTTTTGTGGCAATATTGGTGTAATTTTTTAAACTTAATCGTATCAAATTATTAGTGAAATAAATCTCACTAAAGCTGTTTTGCATCCACCAGTGCCAGTTCTACTTAATTGGTCTGAACACTGTTATTTATTGATTGATAATTATTTGTCTTTGTTACATACTTCTCCACTAGGTGGCAGAATGTAGCTATAAAACTGAAAAAAACAAAAGCACATCAGCGCTATTTTAAATTGTGAGTAAATTGCCACTAAAAGATCATTACATTGCATCACATATACCTTTTGTGACGTTTTTGTTTCGGTGGTGTGCGGTGGGATTTTTCAAATGTGAAATGTGTAGCGTGGCTCGAAAAAGGTCAGGAAACACTGCTTTAGTAAAACCGATGTAACAGATGTCGCCAGTAACAATCAGCAGTTTGTGGAAAATTGCCTCTTGTTTAAGATACATTTGGAAATATCTCGAAGCTTGTCGAACATCAGTCCTTAGTGCACGCGTATCTAATGATTTTAAACCAAGCTTTATTCACTTGTATCAAGTAGACAGCATGAACGGAAATAGATAAGATGGTTTACCCGCCCCAGCTTGGCGAAGGTCTCGTAGATGAAGATGAGGGAGATAAGTATGGAGAAAATTTCTTGGGTGAAGCGCGAGATGAAGCGCACCAGGACGCTGCCATCGAGGGCCACAATCACCAACACGATGATCACGAGCCACACTCCGACCCACACTCTCCCTACAATATACTCGATGTCCTGGGACTTGCAGAACTGCGTAGAAATTAGGTGACATGGATTAGTTTCGCCCGAGATGGCATATGTATATGTATGCATGTACCAAAATGTGGGTCTCAATCCACCAGTTGAAAATCACTGCTATATATTGTATGTTTGAAAGTGTACAGGAAATTGAATTTTTTGTAAACTGTGATCCAGTTTAGGGAAAAACACAACAAATGTTAACATGACTTGGGACCAAGTCAACAAGCAGTCCTCACAATTTCAATTAGAAGGATACAGTCTAAACCAGGGGTGTCGAACTCATTTTCACCGTGGGCCACATCACCAATACAGTTCCCCTTGAAGGGCCGGTTGTAAATGGAAGACTGTATAGATCAGGGGTCCCCAACCCCTGGTCCGCGGACCAGTACTAGTCCATAGGTTATTTGGTACCAGGCCACAGGTGGACACAGTGAAAAAATGTGCTTAATTTTTACTAATTTACTATATGGATATGGTGGATTTCAAAGAAATTACTCCATTTACTTACTTTATTTAAAGATAATCTGGCAATATTTAAAAATAAAAGGTCATTCAGACACTGATACAAACAGAATAAAGTCTAAAAGATATTATATTTTGAAAATGTAATGATCCTTCAATGCTCAGCACCTTGGTACCGGTCTGTAGTAACGGGTGGTACTGGCTGACCAGTCCTTGGAACCAAAAAAAGATAGGGGACCGCTGGTATAGATGTAACTACTCCATAACAGACTAATGCATGTTAATATTGTTCATTTCTGTATGATGAAATAATACCTTTTAATGTGTCATGGATTTACTAAATGCTTTTCATGTTCCTGCGGGCCGCACAAAACAGCTTGGCGGGCCGCATTTGGACCCCGGGCCTTGAGTTTGACACGTATGGTCTAAACAGATGTGAAGTCATTGGGGGAAATGATTGACATCGCTCAATGCACTTTTCCTCAGCGCACCACAATATGATACTACAATAACAATAATACACTATCATGATAACATGCACATCTGTGAACAAAGAAGTTATATTTTGCCTATATCATATGTATAAAAATGCGTACCTAAACATATACAGTATGCAGTTTGCAGATAATTAGCTATTTCAGCTATTCAGCTACTATTATTATTATACTTGATTAAGGATGATTCATATATAATTTACATAAATAATTAGTAGTTTTATCGAGCATTACTTTCCATAGGATAATGAGACTCTTCTGTGTAACTAGATGGAAAAGAGTGTTAGAACTTACTGCACAGAAGGCCTCCTCAAACACTAAGAGAGGACCAGAGAAACCGATGACCAGTATGGGCTGTGCGGCAAGAAAACAGAAGATGATTCCCTGGATACTGGTGGAAATGAGAAGTTCTGGGACGCCCATCATGTTGTCCACCTTATCAGCTAACGATGTTAATGATAAAAAAAAAAAAAGTGTTGATTTATTACAATGATACAGTAAACCTTCTCATTTTACTACAAACAACACATACCCAAAAGACCGCCGAAGGTGATGGCAGGAGACAGGGCAGCAAAGTAGATAAAGATAACTGCAGCAAGAACCTGGGAGTTCAGAGCATCTGTGATGTCACTCTTGTAGTACTTGTAGCGTCTTTTTATGTCCCGAATCATTCCACCAAACGGACGCCCCGTACGGGACAGCGGGTCCTCTGTAGGAGGTTTGGTGGTGAAGGACACTGGGAGGAAACAATTTGAAATTTTAATATAATTCCATAAAACTTCGGCAACTCTTAAAAATGTTTTATAGTAAATTATTGTTGTATTTTTATATTTATTGGTAAAAGATCATCAGGCTGCGTGCTGTAGGACTCACCCCTACGAGGTTGGGGCATCAGGCAAACTGTGGAGTCATCAAGTTTAAGCCTGCCCTGCAGTAGTTTCTCCTGGAAACTGATAATGGAGCTCAACGTTGCTTCATTTTGGATTTCAGTCGGTGGAATGACAACGCTGCAATCCATGAAATTTGTCATGGAGTCCGTCAACCCTTTGGTGCTCTTCGCCTGCACGGCTGTTTGATGGAACACCTGAGAAGGAGAGAATGAAGCTGTCAAATCCAGAGATCGAGATTTTCACCTGTAATGTTAGTGCAGCCACTGACACATAAAAGTAATAGGAGTTTCTTTAATCTACTGGCTATACCGACACATACATTTGAATGCTATTTAGATCACACGTGTCAAACCCCTGGTCCCCAGACCGACTGCGACACACCATGTCATTTTATGTGGCCCACTAGAGCTTATCATATGCATGGTTGTTGTAAAGGAGCAGCCAAACTGGCTTACGAGTTACATAGGAACAGGTCTCCGACATAAGTCGAGGTCCCCCATAGTCAATTTCTAGTTCTGTGTATTTTTTATTAGTCACAAATGCTAAAAACGTACCACGGCCATTTAACAATGTTTATAGATGTTAATGAACCAAATTAAATGATCAGAATGTGCATCATTGTCAGTCGCGCAAAAATGCTGGCTAACTTACTTTGTCAGCCATAAGTGCCGCCATAGCACGGCCAGTTTCGTGGTAATCTACGTCAGTCTTGATTGGGCCAACCAGAACATAGATGAAGCGAACTGGTGCCGGGGACTCCAGACCGGAGTCAAGCACCAAGGCCTCCTTTAGACGGACAAACACGACTGTGGGCTTCTCCAGAAAGTCCAGACCTCCTGGTTTATTTAAAAAAAAAAGAAAGAAATATTCTTCAAACGTTATTTTCGGAACAGTCGGAACGCTTTGTAATGTCATTTAGGCCTGGTGTTTGGTAATACATATGATCAATTGGCTGGATCAAGCAAAAGAACAAAAAAAACCCCACATATTTCTCCCAGAAAGTTTAATAAACACTAATTTAGGAAGTGAAGATTTCAACCCACTTCCAAAAAGTTGGGATAATGGATCACTGTTGTAGTTTCGCAAGTTATATATTTTGGACCCCTGTATATATATTTCATATATATATGTATATATATATATATATATATATTTATATATATTTATATATATAGTGAGGCTTTGATATACGAGCTACCCGAAATACATTTTCCAAGTTACCAGTGCTCAACCAAGCTCCATTTTTCGACTCAGTGTCATGCTCACTCTCTCACTCTCTCTCGCTCTCTCTCTCTCTCTCTCCCCGACTCGCTCACTGTCCCTCGCTGGGTTATTTTACCCCGTTTTTATAACAATAATATAAACATTTCTTAATTATTATTATTTTATATTACCAATATATTTGTTTTGAGCTATGTTTCTGATGTTTAGATGGGGGGTTAATTTAATTAAATAATTTCTGTGGGGCTGGAACGAATTAATTGTTTTTTTGTTATTTTTGATAGGCAAAATGCAATCAAGATACGAGTGGATTGCTGTTGTGTGAACCCACTGTTTCTACCATTATACCATCAAATGCCCTGAAATGTTTTTATACTTAGCATGATAACCAAACCATTACCAGGTTACCCAGTAACTTCCAAATTTTAGCCCAACTTCTATGACTTTTCACTGTTATTTGGCGTCTTTTCCACTTTCTGACCTTTCACCATCTTTGCTTTTAAAATTGGATAATGTTTAACGAAAAAAAAATCAGGTTTGAATGAATTTTGTTTTGTTCCAATATATTGGAATATATTATAATAATAAATGTAGTAAATACATAATTTTTGTAAAACTAGGTCAATTGATTGTCCATAAATACACTGATAGCAGAGAAACAATGGCTCACCTACTAACACCAAGGAGACTTCATCACGGTCAGACACGTCCTTCTGGAAAACAAAGTGGGAACAGTAGGAATTTCTACTATGAATCGCTGCAACTCACATCTTACAAAAAGAAATTATATTTTCAACATCCTTAAATGTGTAAAATTCAGTGTAAATAATTCAATATTTAAATAATTCAGGTCATGAAATTGACTGTGAAAAGCTGATGGATCTTTAAGTCCACTCACCCTTTCTTTTACTGAGATTCTCTGTAGATTTGTACCCTCTGTCAAAGCTTGGCTCTCTGGGTCTGCTGATTGGCTAGAAGGAGGGAGACGTGGGTCAGTGGTTATCTCTCTCTGTCTGCCTCTGTCTCTCACCCTCTGATTACTGAGATTAAAAATGTAGCCTGACAGCCCTAAATGTAGGCCAACAAAGGTTGTATTTGTGGACACATACGGTATTGCGGCCCTTATAAACATTTGAGTTAATTTTTGGGCCATTGTGTTCAAGTCAGTATCTCACATTTGAGTTAATTTTTGGGCCATTGTTTTCAAGTCAGTCAAATCTTGGTGCAAACCTGTGGTTCTGGAGCAGAACCTTCACCATGTCTTCACGGTTTTCTGGCCTGATTTCCTTTTTATTAACCATTTCGCTGACGATCTTTTCAGCAATGTCGGCCAAAGTCTTCTCCTCGCAGTCGAAAATCATTACACCTTGCGTGAGAGGATTCATAGATGAACATTGAGGAGAAATGTACATGCAGCAAAACACTGAAATTAAATCTTTTTTTTTTGGACGCCTCCACTGACCTGTGTTCATGCTGCGTCTGAGCTGAATGAGGCTCTTGAAGCTGAGATAGGATATCTGTGGGGACACCCAGGTGCCTGCCTGTGGGTCAAAGCTGTCCTCACAGTGCCCCCAGTGGCCTGTGTCCAGCATGTTGTTCTGCTGCTTTAGTTCTTTCATTTCTTCTCACGACTTTACAGAAATTAGACACAGGAAAGACAAAAGCCACAAATGCAGACATGAGTGACTAACGTTAGTGTGTACACCAGTGTGTGTACGCAAAAGAGTAAAATGAATGAATGAATTCAATCCATCTATCCATCTATCTATCTATCCATCCATCTATCTATCTATCCATCTATCCATCCATCCATCCATCTATCCATCTATCTATCTATCCATCCATCCATCTATCCATCTATCTATCTATCTATCTATCTATCTATCTATCCATCTTTCTATCCATCTATCTATCCATCTATCCATCTATGCATCTATCCATCTATCCATCTATCCATCCATCTATCCATCCATCCATCTATCAATCTATCCATCCATCTATCTATCCATCTTTCTATCCATCTTTCTATCCATCTATCTATCCATCTATCCATCTATGCATCTATCCATCTATCCATCTATCCATCCATCCATCCATCTATCCATCTATCTATCTATCCATCCATCCATCTATCCATCCATCTATCCATCTATCCATCTATCCATCTTTCTATCCATCTATCCATCCATCTATCTATCCATCCATCTATCTATCTATCCATCCATCCATCTATCCATCTATCTATCTATCTATCTATCTATCTATCTATCCATCTTTCTATCCATCTTTCTATCCATCTATCTATCCATCTATCCATCTTTCTATCCATCTATCCATCCATCCATCTATCCATCTATCTATCTATCCATCCATCTATCTATCTATCCATCTATCCATCCATCCATCCATCTATCCATCCATCTATCCATCCATCCATCCATCCATCCATCTATCCATCTATCTATCTATCCATCCATCCATCTATCCATCCATCTATCCATCTATCCATCCATCTATCATCCATCTATCTATCCATCCATCTATCCATCTATCCATCTATCCATCCATCTATCATCCATCTATCTATCCATCCATCTATCCATCCATCTATCTATCCATCTTTCTATCCGTCTATCTATCAATCTATCTATCCATCTATCTATCCATCTATCTATCCATCTTTCTATCCATCTTTCTATCCATCTATCTATCCATCTATCTATCCATCCGTCTATCCATCTGTCTATCTATCTATCCATCTATCCATCTATCCATCCATCTATCCATCCATCTATCCATCCATCCATCCATCTATCCATCTATCTATCTATCCATCCATCCATCTATCCATCTATCCATCCATCTATCTATCCATCTTTCTATCCGTCTATCTATCAATCTATCTATCCATCTATCTATCCATCTATCTATCCATCCATCTATCCATCTATCAATCTATCCATCTATCCATCTATCCATCTGTCTATCTACAACATCAACCTCTTTTCATCCTGGACATCTGCAGGGAGCAAAGATTTATAGTCGTATAAGGAAGCATAATGTTTATGCTTCTCCACGCTTGATAAACACTGGTGATATTTTGGGTGTTGACTTCCACCTTGGAAGCAAGTGTCACACCTTTAATCTCGTGTGTACTCAAATCAAGCTACTGTGCAGAGGTGACACTTTGTGTCACAAAGGTAAACACAAGGGTTGTCATGGCTCAACACCCAGCAGGCTCCAGGCTCTGGACCACTGCTAATTTCCGGTATGTGTGGATCTGACATGTTGCGACTGTCAATAAAATCTGTGTATGTGAAGTAATGACACCCCGTTTCATGTGCATGTGCATGTGTTTGTGTTTACTCCCTCACCGGAACACTCCGAGTCACCGAGGCTCTGATGTCAGACCAGGCTGGAGAACAGACACAAAGCAGTTATGTTTTAACATTACACATGTTTTCTTTGTTGCCTCAGTTTCCTGTTTTTCTGCATATTTCTCATGGGGTTGAAAAGGTGGAATAGATTTCTTTTTTTTTTAATCGCTGTAATTTTAACAGATAAACCTAACCTGACAACAGCACAACAGTTTAGAAAATACTATAGAAATATGGCTATAGGTGGAAAGAACATGAATGTCATATTATATATAAAGAAAACATATGTTCACACAGTGGTGTATTGCAGTTGCCTCATTGTACAAAGGTCATTTATT